TGAGAGAGTTTAAAAGTTCAGGCAGGTTGAGGCACTAAAACTTTGGCTCTGTTACAAGGTAGGGTCCTCACTTCGGGAAGTAGCATTTAAAACAACTCCATTCTGGAGTACTACTCAGCCATAAAAAATGAGAAATTAGAGACATTTATAGCTAAGTGGATGCACATTGAGGTGATACTCTTAAGTGAAATAAATAGGACACACATGAATAAATTCCAAATAGTTTCTCTGGTGTGAGAAACTGAAAGTGTAAATAAGGACTAAATGTATAATAGGTAATGTGAAATAGGAAGAAAAGGGGTAAAGGGGATGGAAGTGGGAGGGCTAGGGGAAAGGATAGAAGGGAATGGGATTAATATGAGAAAATGGAAAAATAGGAACAAAATCTTTGTAAATAGGAAGGAATGGAGGGGTTGAAGGGAGGGCTGGGCAAGGGTGAAAAATAAGAACCAAGACAGACTATGTAAAGGTGCAAATTTCCAATGATGAATGTCATTATATTGTATACCTAAAATGTACCAATGATTAGAATGAATAATTGAAAATGTAAAATAGGAAGAAAAGGTCCAAAGGGGTAGGGGAAGTGGGAGGGGCAGGGGAAAGGAAAGAAGGGAAAGGAAAAATGCTGAGAAATGTAAAAAATGGAAATAAAGTCTTTGTAAATAGGGAAGGGTGGAGGGGGTGAAGGGAGGGCTAGGAATGGGGAAAAAATAAGAACCAAGATGCATCATGTAAAGGTACAATTCCCAATGAGAAATGTAATTGTGTTGTATACCTACAATGTACCAATAAAAGAATTTAATAAAAAAAAAATAAAAATAAAATAAATAAAACAACTCCATTCTCCAGGCAGCACATGTACCCAGGGGTTCCAATCAAAGCTGGCTTAAGACATCTGTTCACAGGCTTGAGGTTTCCCCTGGGCCAGGAGCAGTGTTGCTGTGGACACTGGGAAAAGCACTCTCCTTAGAGGCCATCAAAAGAGAAATGGCCTAATTGTAGTGTTCTTGTTATCTTCTAATGACATTGGTGGTATTGTCACAGGGCTGGAGAACAGTATGGAGATCAGAGAACAGAGAAAGAGAACAATTTTCACAGCACAGAATCGATGAGATGAAAATGTGCCGTAAACCTGTGGATACTGTGTGTGTGTGTGTGAGTGTGTGTGAGATACACAAATAGCCCATTGGGCAAGCATGCCTCAGGTTCACACCACTACTGTAGGGCTTCATTGTCATCTACTCAGAGAGCATTCCTCCCAGACTGGGAGCCCCAAAACAGATCCTGAATCAGAGGGACAATTTTAAAGCCGAAAACAAATCAAAGAATAATCTTCATATATTTTATAAGTCTTTTTAAAATCCCCTCAAGGTTGTTTGTTTTGATAGTATCCACTGAGGAATATAAGCATTTTAGTTGAAAAAATGTAGTTATTTTTTTAAAGTAATAGATGACTAATGGAATAAATATAACCATTCATTTTTTTTTAGGGTATCCCAACTACCTGAATACTAATACCTATGATCTTATTTTCCTGGTTTAAAATGAGGACCTTTTTTTTTGGTACCAGGGATCGATCTCGGGACCTTGTGCTTGCGAGGCAGGCGCCAGAACCACTGAGCTAAATCCCCGGCCCAAAAAGGACCTATTTTAATTCTTTAGTATTTAAAGGAGGGTGCTTGCCTATGGCAAGAGCCCATTGACAGAATTAGCCAATAATAAAAGCAAGAAAATATGCCACTTCTTGCCAAGGTGACATTCAAAGTTGCTTCCCCAAGCCCCAAAAGGAAAGTGGCAAAGAATATCTTGGCCAGGGAGCCCCATTCCTTCTCTCCCACCTCCTCACAGCTCATAAAGGCCCTTTATTGCCTGTCCACATACCCACATAGAAAATGTATCCAGGGTACCTAGGGTGCTTTTTCCATTTGTTTTCTCTTCTAACATTTGATCACTGGCTGGTGAACTGTTTGGGCCCACAGAGATCTCCAGACCACCAGCTCATGTATTTGAAAGGCATCTGTTTATTTGGAAAATGCAAATGTGGCCTACCTCAAAGACTGACAGGCGAGAAGTGACCCACTGAGCCAGCCGGGAGAGGCTTCCAATCTGGAGATCACTCCCAGCAGAGCCACTTGGCCTGGCTCCGGGAATCCCAAGGCAGGGCCCACAATTAAACCAAGCCGCCTCAGCCCTTGAGAATCAGCAGGCAGATCATTTCGCACCCAGTTGAAGAGGTCACTTACAAAGAGACTGGGAGCCTTGAAAGTGTGGCTCATCCACTGAGGGCTGCTTGGTGTTGGCCCCGTAGCAGGACACCAGCTCCTAGCAGTGGCTGCCTGTCCTCGGGAGGAGAAAGCCCAGGAAGGTTAATACCCGACTTTGATCTCTGTCAAGGCATACCAGCAAGAATTAATTTACATTTCAGATGAAAAAGGTTGACAGCATGAAAAGGCAGCTTGTTGCTGGTATGTGAATGTACCGTAATAGATTGGGAATTCTGAGAGGAAGTTCTGAGGAAGCTGAAGGGATAAGCCAAGGCGGCTTTTATTGGGAAGGAGATGAAAGGAAAACAAATTTCAATATGCACTGCACTGCAGCAACATGTAGGCCAAATGCTTCCTAAATTTCAAGGGGTGCTCTTTTAAAAATATATAACATATCTTAGCAATACTATTTAAAAAAAAAAAAGACCACTGCAGGCCAGAACCAGAAGTACAAACAAATGCATTCAGTGAAGTGCGTTGTTGAAAGAACAATTAGAGATAAACCTCAGAAAATGACCCAAGTGGCTTTGCTAAGCTATCATTCTTTCTTTAAGCCTCCTCCTGCAGGTTTCAAAGGTGAGGGGACCTGGGTCTTAGTACACTTGGAAACATTCTGGAGGCACGAAGAGGAGCTGAGACAGAAGGGGTTGTGTGTTGGGAAACCACAACCTCAACCCAAACATACAGTTCAGAATGAGGGGCTTTGCTTTTTAGATAAATACAATCATGCCTTAAAATCTAAAGATAAAGAAAACCTTTTCAAGTAAAATTATGCTGCCCATAAAATGCAAATGCCATTCCCCATCCCTACACCTTTCCCACTAGGGCAAACCCAGCACATTAGTCCCTGTGCTTGCTGTTGCAGAGGGGCAGACTCAGCCTGCTTTCTCTCTGGCTGTCGCAGAGGATAACTGTGGCATGGGGCCGCCTTCGAGGCTGCCTGAGGCCCCGCAAAGTCAGCTAATATATGTCCCAACACCGCTTGATAGGTGGGAATACTTTGGCTGTGAGGCCATGGAAGGCACATGCTTACAAAGTGGAAAAAATAAGAGGCACCATAAAGAGACATGTTCTCCCCAGGTGCACTGAGCACAAGCACCCTACAGGTGCTTGCCTGACCAGATGCAGTCACTGCTGTCCTGGGCAGGATGATGAAGCAGATCTCCCTGCTTTTGATGCCACGTTTACTTGGCAATAACAGAGCACAGAACAGGGAGCCCTCTAAGATGATTCGCACAAAAGGAAAACTGGATTTATGATTTTTATATACTGGCTTCAGTGGTTCAACAATATATAAGCTCAGAGTTTATGTTTTAAAACATATGTTGGGATTTGGGCCAAACTGCCAGATTAGAAATCAGCCTAGTATCCTCTTTTGATGGGAGACTCTGTGTGTGTGTGTGTGTGTGTGTGTGTGTGTGTGCAGTCTGGCAAATGGGGAACAACTGATGCTCTTTGAGTTGTCTTTCTTAGCTTAAACTGTAATAATTGCATCCCTCTTCCTGAGGCTTTGAAGTGGTGGAACTTAGAATTGGTAGGAGAAGGCGTTAAAAGTTACACATTTGCATTTAAATGGAACCCCTTCCTCCCAAATATTTTAGTTCTGAAAGACCTCAGGCTTCAACAGGAGCCCAGAGCCCTGAGAAGGACCCCTGGAGCCAGCTTCTGGGCCAGACGTGGGAAGAGGCTGCTGCTGTCTTACTGAAGAATGTGCTTGGAGCTCAGCCGTCTCTGAAACCCAACCTCTCTCGCTGTAGCTCGCTGGCTTGCTTGGCCCACTGGCCTCCACTCTCTCATTCAGTCTCTAATTTCCAGTTTCTCTTACTCACAGAGCTCCTGGCCAGCTCTTCCAGAGCCTCACAGGAGGAATATACAGCTTCAAATGAGGGAGAGAGCCCAGCCTCAAAGCCACAGTGGACACCACATTTGTGGAAGAGCAGAATGACCTGGCACCCAGGGAAGGGGTGGAGGGGAGTAACCAGAGCTCACTGAACTCAGGCTTCAAGGGCAAGCTGAGTTAAAAGAGCCATGTGTGCTCACCTCATGGGCCCCAGAGGACCATGCCTGCCACCCCCAGGCCTAGATTTGAGAAAATCCTAGAGTTATTTCTCCTAAGTGATGCTGAGAGGCAGACAGGCCTTGCAAATAATCAGGCCTTTAGTCCAAATGAGACCGAGATTTGTTCCCTTAGCAGTGTGCAAAGAGGACTCAGTCCAAACTGTGTTCAAATGCTGACTCTGCCACCGACAAGCTGTGAGATCATGCACAAGTTACTTCACATCTCTGAACTTCAGTTTCCTCCTTTATAAAATCAGGAATATAAACAAGACATGGTACATACCTATAATCCCAGCACTGAGGCAGGAAGGAGGATTGCAAGTTCGAGACCTATCTGGGGAGCTTAACTAGACCTTGTCTCAAAAAAAAAAAAACAACCAGAAAGGACTGGGGATGTAGCTCAGTGTGAAGGCCTAGGTTTAATCTCCAGTACTGAAAAAAACCAGGACTATAAAGAGGACCCACTCTCAGCCTCTTAGCCAAGTGCAGCAGGCAGTAAATGCTTGAAGTGGCTTTGGACACACACAGGAAGTGTGTCAGAACAAGTATGAGGAGCCTGCGGAGCCGTTGACTCACTCCAGGGCTCCTGAGTTATTTGCCATTCAGCTTTTCTAAACTCATTTCAAAGTAATCACAGAATATTTTCAAGTGGACACTGAGAAATGATGTTTTAATTACCTGCTTGAATATGAACAGCAGACTCACTCCTTCTGTTGCTTATTTTCTTAAATTTCCTCCGAGCATCATATCCTCTCCAGGCTAAAAATATAAAACCGTGTGCTAGGAATGACATGAATTTAACAACGGCCAGAGAATTGATATAAGCTGTTCCCTGTCCAATCTATTCCCTCTCTCTTCCCGCCCTGCTTTCTCCCTGAACAAAATGAGTAGAGATATGTGAGCTATGGTGGGGAAGAGGAGCCTCTCTGTACTCACAGAGTGGCTTTTCAAATGCTTCTGGGGGGGCCATTTTTGTTCAAGCAGTGAGTTTCCAGAACACTCTGGATCTCTCACAGGAGTTATGTGGGCCCCCATACCCAGATGAAGTGGTTCCCTGTCATTCCAATCCATGGAGGGAGACTTGTCTTCAGGACTTGGGGATATGGGCTCGGGGAGGGGATTGGGGGATGGTGGAAGGCACTGAAATAGCCTGACTCTTTTGATGTTTTGTGTCTGGGAGAAAGATGGCCATGAGAGTCCCAGAGAAAGACAGAGGGGAACGAAGGGGAGTAATAATGGCCCGTAACTGGCTGAGGGTGAGCTCGGAGGTAAGGAGCTGCTCAGAGAGGCACTGGGATGGAGGGGAAGGCAAGGGAGATGGGGCAAGAAGGAGAGAAGAGAGGAAGGGGCTGGGGGTTAATCCTTTAGATACAGATGGAGGTATAAGCCAGCCACCAGGAGCTTGAGCAGCTCTCTTCAACAGCCCGCTCTCCTAACCTTAGCCCAAGTGTCTCAACTATTCGGGTTGCTGAAATTGCTCAGGAGATCTAAAGCCAGCTAAGGCACAGTATGGTTCTGGCTTCTGAGAACACAAAGGAACCATTCACTGTGTTCAAGATCTGGTGTTTTTCCAACTGCTCATCCATAGCACAGGAACAACACTGCTGTCTGGAGCACACACAACACGGGGTACAGAGGCACCAGCAGAGCTGGTGTGGGAGAGACTAGAAGTTTGCTCCCTTGGTTTACAGTTCCGGCTGGGCTAGAAAAGCCTGCTGGAATGGCCTTGGTGTAACTGATGTTGAAAACCAGCCACAGCCTGAAAGTGTTATGTATTATCTCAGCCACTCAGAGACGGGACACGTGTGAGTGTGACTAGGGTTTTATATCACTGGGTCCCTCATAGTATCTCTATCTGGACTCTTGTGACAGTGTGCTGTAATGACCTGTGTGCCTCCTTGTGAGGTCAGGGACCATGGTGGTCTTCTTAGGGCTGCAGCCCCAGCACCTACTAAAGGGTAGACCTGTGGCAGACATTTGATAAATATTTGCTAAGATGAGGAAGAAGGAAAGAAGAAGTGAAAGAGGAAGAGAATGAAAAAGGGAAGCAATTACTGGGGGAAAAAAACACAGGTGAGTAGCCCTTAGCATGTAACAAAAGGCCAATACTCGAGGCAGCATTTATGGAAACTGGTCCACTTACCTGACTGGATGGCAATGGCCGCCTTCTCTCTCTTCTCTCTGACTCTTTTGTATCTCCTGGCTCCAAGCCACCCCTTGGTGTATGCCTGCAGCACAACTACTCTGCCCATGACTTCTCGAAGTAGTAAATTTAATTGCTCAACATGGTAATACTTGAGGAAAACCTGAAAAGAGACATTAATTTTCACATTACACATGGGCTTCCCAGTAGAAATCCACTCTACTCCAGCATATTTAATGTAAATATTAAAACTATTATCTAAATGAAGTTGATTTGATTTATGCTCTTATTACTGACTTTTTGGGGGGCAAATATAATTCCCCTTCTAAGGCTGCTGAGCCTCAATTAGTGATGTAAACCGAAGGTGAGGTCTCTAGGCTGAGGCAATCCCAGATGCTCTTTGGGTTCCACTTTCTTGTCTTGAGCTCTGCTCTCTCCCTACAGCCTCTCATGGAGGAGAAACCAGCAGAACCACCCATGGCCAGCATAGGAAGTTGGAGGAAGAAGACTGGGATCTAATTTCTGTCAAAGAGCTGCCACCAACATGCAGGCTAAAGCTGACTCTGTAGGGCAATTCATGATGGGACCATAAAAAGCTGGTGTCTTGGGTGGGGGATTTAGCTCAGTGGTGCTGTTGCCTGCCTTTCGAGCAAAAGGTCCTGAGTTCGATCCCTAGTACTGCAAAAAAACCCCACAAAAAATCTCCTGCAGGGAAGTGATGTTGCCCCAAATTAAAAGCTACAGAAGATGAGGGCCGGGGGATTTAGCTCAGTGGTTTCGCCGCCTGCTGCGCAAGCACAAGGACCCAAGTTTGATCCCTGGTACCAAAAAAAAGCTAGGGAAGATGAAGCTAATAATCAAGACTTGCAATAAATAACACAACATGAGTTTAAAAAAAAAATTAACCAAACTATAAAAGAAACTCACCACCACCATAACATGATTTGTACATTTACATGTGTGCTAGAAAATAAAGTACTGAAAAAGAGTTTAAATAAAAGTATTTAAAATAAATGCAAAGATCTAGCAGTGCTAAATGGCTGTCAAATCACATGCAGAAGTTTTCTCCTTTGGACCCTGAGCTCCCTGGGCTCCTGACTCAAAACCAACAAATGATGTTTTCAGGTTGGGCTCTCACCTGCTGAGCTACACCACTTACACTGCCATCTTGCTGGTGAGATCAGTGACAAGAGACAAAAGGCATGCAGGAGAAGATTCCAGGTGACAATCTAAACAATAAGAAAGGACTACCTTTGTTTTCCCCAGCACCCAGTGATCTAATCTGGACTTTTCCAAGATAGCGACACAGCTCTCTTTGCTAGCAGGAGGTGTTTGATGTGCTTTGAATGCCAAGTAGTAATACCTACAAATAAAAGAGAGAAATAGAGAAATGAAACATTTTTTCAGCTACCATTTTATTTAGTATAATATAGGATTGCTCTGGACTCTGACAAACCTTGTTTTTTTAATAGTAAATATTTCTTGAGTGCCAATAATAGCATATTAGGTAGTAAAAGATACACAATTTATTCTTACTAACTTGACTCCTACCTACATTCCTATTTTCTACAACATGGATTTTCCTTTTAGTGTTGTGAATTCATGTTCAGTGCATACTTGGTGCCTTTTGTTTGTAAAATCAAAATATCTTTTTTTTTTTGAGACAGGGTCTTGGTATATAGTCTAGGCTGGCCTTGAACTTAGTATGTAGCCCAGGGTGGCCTCAAACTTGCAACAATCCTCCTGGCTCAGCCTCCCCAGAGCTGGGATTACAGCTATGCACCACCTTCTAAACCTTTTAGGAAGCTACAATTTAGACAGTTCTCTTAGTGAAAGTCATAATTTTATTTTATTTTCAATTCTACTTATGTATCTAAATTTAACCTACAATCTTATTAAATTTTTGGTCTTACCTATTTCATAATCTTTTTTACTCCTTTCCTATCTTCTTTTACATTATTTTTGTTTGTTTTATTTATTTTTGTTTCTTTTTATTAGTAAATGTTTGTGATACATAATAATTACACTTGTCTTGGGGAACTGGTACATATACATACTGCATATTAATAATTTTATTTCTTTCTTTTCCCCTTCCTGTCTCCCCATCCTCAGACCCCTTTGAAAATTCATAATTTTAAATGTTAGTATTATTACAAAAATAATTTACATCTCATTGTACATATTTGACTGCTTTCAAAAGTCCCATCTGGAGCAATTCACAGCCAGCAAATGATGCTAGCCTGACACTATGGATTCTCTCTGCTGAGCCACATGTCTTATTCAGAAGAGGGGTAGACATGTTGTCTTGATACCATCACCAAAACCACATTTATTTTCTTAAATGACTTCATTTTAGTGAACTTTTAAACTATCAGAGAAAAGGATTTCTGGGTAGATTTGAAGAACATCACTGCAGAAGAGGAAAAATATCTCTTTCTTACCCATTCTAGATTCATAGCTGAGAATCCCATAACAAGAAAAAAGTTGCCAATTTATTTAATATCAGTTTTCTACAACACAGGAGGCTTCCTCCACATGAAAATAAGGCCTTAAGAATTAGTTAAACAGGTATATTTTTAGGCCAGGTTTCACGGAGAAGAAGAGTCATGGAGAAATACAATCGCACAAAAGGGTGTGACCTAATAGTAGAAACCTGGGACTCAGCAAGGCCTGTCTGTCCAGAATTTTCTGTGTCTTCCCGCGTCCACAGAGATGAGCATGTTCCTTTGCTCTGGGAATAGGGAAGGCCTCTCTCACATGAGGTCCTGTACAACTCTCATGGAAGCTTAGCAAATCTGCCCTAGGTTCTGTGACCTGCCTCAGGGAGAAGGAAAGGGAAGGTCAGAGTGACCATAATGTCTCTGCTGTTTTCTCAGAGGCCAAGGTGGTCACCATGTTTTGAGGTAACATTTCCTGCATACCATAACTACCTAAAGGATTTTTTTTCTCCCCCTTTCCCCTCCTCCTCCTCCTCCTCTTTTTTGTTTTTCGGTTGTTGTATTTTTGTGTGTGTCAGGGGGACTGGGAAGGGAACCCAAGGCCTTGCCTCTGAGTTACATTCCCAGCCCCTCCTTTCTTCTTTATTTTGCCTTTTTAAAAAAATATGACTTGCTAAATATCTTATCCTTTTAGAAAATCTTACCTTATCCCCAGAAACTTTCAAGCATCTTTTCTCTGCTTTTTGCTGCCATCTATAATTAAATTCAATCCCTCAGAACTTAAAAATTAACCTATTTCTTTGTCAAAGGATTTTTTGTCACTCCTCAGACAAGACTGTTGTGCTATTTGGAAATTACTTTTAAATACATATAGAGCTGTTTTTACTTTTTAAAAAAATCATCAAAATATGAAACATATCCCTTCTTCCTATCAAAAGAACTCATACATATTTTTCTGTTTATGGAAACATAAATTTACCTAATCAGTACTTGAGTCAACTTTATTTCTGTGTTATACAACTATTTCCCAAATTAGGATACAAGGCTGGGACTGATGAAAGCATTTGCATTCAGAGATCCTGGGATTGTTTCCAAAGCTCTGAGTCTGTTTCCACCTTTGAGGAGCAGGGACAGTGCTTTCAGAACACCTGAATGGTGACGGGAACAAAGAGCCTGCTGAGAGCTGACATCTGCCAGAGCTTAGAGGGAGGAGGGGTACCCAGGAGTCAAGGAGGGGCCTATTTGGGCAGTTTATGGCATCGGCACAGATTCTTCAGCCTTAGTTTCTCCAGGACTGTAGTTTTAGTCATGGCTTCTCTGACTTGGGCAAGGAAGAAATCTCAGTGCGTTTTGCAACCTAGGCTTAGAAGTAAACCATTGATTCTTCCATATTCTTTTACTCACTAGAAGTGATTCATCAAGTCCCACTAACACTCAGTGAGAGAGGAATTAAGTTCTACCTCTTAAAGAGAGGAGAATCATAACTTGTGTGTGTGTGTGTGTGTGTGTGTGTGTGTGTGTGTGTGGTACTAGAAACCAAATCTAGGGATGTTCTACCATTGAGCTACAGTCTTATTTCTTTTTATTTTTAGACAGGGTCTCAGGCTAAATTGCCCAGGTGAGACTCAAAACTTGGCATCCTCCTGCCTCAAACCTCTCAGTACCAGGACTATAGGTGTGCATCACTGCACCTGGATAGTGAACATATTTTTAAACCACCACAAAGAATCTCTAGATCATCAAGTCTTTGTATTGATGAAGAAAAGCACTCTCAGTGATATGAAATGATTTATACAAGATAACAGAAAGTAAATGACAAAGGCTAAAATTATTCAATGGTATTTCCATGTTATACTTTATTATTCAATTTATAGAGTGGTCCCAGCAAAATGCTGCTGACTTGAGCTCTTCCAGACACAATGCGGGCAGAACTGAGCTGATCAGACTTCAGATTCTACCACCACATGTTGCAGCTAGAACCTGGAGGACAGAGTACTAGGAGAGAGCTAAAGAGAGAGAATTATGGAGACTCATGGAAGATCTTCTCAAGTATTCAGCAGGATACTGGTGAGCACGTGCATAGGAGGAAACTACCCCAGGCTGGGAGCAGAACCATTAGAGGGGATTCTAGGGGAGGTGCCTGATGCTCACATAGAGCTGGCAACAGTGTCTCTTTTTACCATTAGTTGTATACACAGCTCTGGTCCCACCTAACAAACCTCAGAAGCAACTTAACTGGATCCAAGAATGAAGCACACAAATACTTACAGGATTACAAAAAAAAATGAAATTAGCAATAATTTCACATCAACTCAAGATTACTAGACCTGAAAGGAAATGAATCATAATGAGAAGAAAAGTCAACTGAAACAGATCCAGAGATAATCCAGGTATTAAAATTAACAGAGAAGGACATTAAAATAGCTATCTTAACTGTCCATATGTTCAAGAAGTTGGGTGAGAAACAAAAGCCATTTTAAAAGATCAAAAAAGAACTTTTAGAAATGAAAACTATACAATATCTGAGATGAAAAATATACAAAATTAGCAACAAGTGAGATGTTGCTGGAAAAATGATTAGGGAACTTGAAGACAAGCTATTAGAAATTATATGAAATGAAACACAAAGAAAAAATAACTTAAAAATAAAAACATCATTGGTGAGCTGTGGGGCAATTTAAAGTGGTCTTAATTAGGGGCCAGGGATTTAGCTCAGTGGTTCCACTGCCTGCCTCACTAGCAGAAGGTCCCAAGCTCGATCCCCAGTACCAAAAAAAAAAATGTAATTAGAGTCCCTGGAGGGGAGGAGGAAAAAAATGATGCCAGAAAAAGAAATATTCAGCCAGGTGTGGTGGTGCACACCTGTAATCCCAGCATTCAGGAGACTGAAGCAAGAAGATCACCATGAGTTTGAGGCCAGACTGGGCTGCACAGTGAGTTCAAGGCAGCCTGAACTACATAGCAAGATCCTGTCTCCAAAAAAAAAAAAAAAAAAAAACCCACAAAAACAACAATAGTAACAAAAAAACCTAAAAATTTTTTAAAACCTTCTTTTAAAGACAAAGACAAAGGCCAGGGTTTAGCTCAGTGGTTCTGCCACTTGCTCCACAAGTGAAAAGACCCGAGTTTGATACCCAGTACCAAAAGAAAAAAAGATAATGACATTGAAAAGTTTTTAAAAAGATGAGACATGAGATTTTTCTTGAGACAACACAGAGGTCTATTTCAGAATCTCCCTACTTTTCTGATAAACTTCCAGTTTTCTCATGTGCCAATCATAAACAAGATTCCCCAAAACATAGCTTTTAAGTCCACTGTTTCTTTGCTTCTATACCACATATTCTTTCTTCACTTATCAATTTAATGACAGTTATTTTGATGCTGCCTTAAAGGGCTTTTCCATTTATCAGCTTTACTCCTGTGAAATTTCTGAGGAAAGCTTCTATTCACTTTTTTAATAAGTTATCTGATTTTATTTTAGGATGACAGTTACAGTCTTTGGTGGATCTGTGTCCTGAATATCTTCTTGTACTCAGTCAAATATGTGTGTGTGTGTGTGTGTGTGTGTACAAGAGAGAGTGTGTGCATGAATTTGTAGAAGGCACAAGATTATAATCCATATATAGGAATATAAAAAGATGAATAGATATAAAATCCTATTTGTGTCTTTGGAACAATGAAAGTTGATAATTTTAACGTAGTCACATTTAAAAAAAAATTGTATGGATCCTTTCCATGTGTTAATAAGAATTATTTTACTATGTCTAACTCCTGAAAATATTATTCTATTCCTATAAAATCTATATTTTTAGGGGCTGGGGATTTAGCTCAGTGGTTCTGCTGCCTGCCTTGCAAGTGCTAGGTCCTGAGTTCTATCCCTGGTACCAAAAATAATTCTATAGTTTTAAAATTACATTTTCAGAAA